CAGAGAATCCAACTGAGGAGGATGCAGAGGATTCTCCAGATGATTCATTAGAAGACGCTGATGAAGATGAAGACTCTGCAGAGAGCTCATCTGATGCCGAAGAGCCTTCGAGTGAGTCTTCTGATGACAGCACCGAGGAGGCCGAGGGTGATTCGTCCGAAGACACAACAGAGGATCCAACTGAAGATGCTACGAAGACATCAGAAGAGAGTCCTGATGACAATACCGAGGAGCCAAAAGATGATTCTTCTGAAGAAACCGCAGAGAGCCCAGCAGAGGATGATGCCGATGAGTCACCAAAAGAGTCACCAGAAGACGCAGCTGAACAATCCGAAGAAGATTCATCTGAAGAGACATCAAAAAGCCGAAATGAGGAGGATGACGATGAACCCTCAGAGGATTCGTTTGGAGACCTTGACGAAAATGAAGAAACCGCAGAGAGTTCACTTGAAGAGGATGGTGACGAATCTTCTTCCGAGGACGCTGCCGAAGATCCAGATGAAGATTCTTCCAAACAAACGACAGAGAGCTCAGCTGAGAAGGATGCCGAGGAACCTTCAGAAGAATCTTCTGATGACACTACAGAAGAGCCCGAAAGTGATTCTTCCGAAGAAGCCACAGAGAGCCCAACAGATGAGGATGCCGAAGAATCTTCTGAAGAGTCTTCAGATGACGCGAACGAAAACCCCGACGTAGATTCATCTGAAGAGAACCCAAAGAGCCGAAATGAGGAAGATGACGATGAACCGTCAGAAGAATCTTTTGAAGACGCTGATGAAGAGGAAGACTCCGCAGATAGCTCGTCTGAAGAGGATGCCGAAGACGCTGCTGAGGAACCCGATGAAGATTCTTCTGACGAAACGGCAGAGAAGCCAGCAGAGGAGGATGCCGAAGAAGACGTAGAGAAACCCGAAGGTGATTCATCTGATGAGACCACAGAGAGCCGAAATGAGGAAGATGACGACGAACCATCGGAGGATTCGTTTGAAGATGCTGACGAAGATGAAGCACCCAAAGGAAAGCGCAAGTCGAAGGGATTGACCGCAAAGAATACAAAAGGCAAACAAGGTTTAGATGTTTTGCAGTTATCTCTTTGCTGACTGTAGCTTTTGTGAATTCCTTTTTCAGTCGCTCACTGTTCCTCACAAAGCGAAATGACAGATAAAGTAAGGCAGGTGTTCCTTGACAAGCACAATGAATACCGGTAAATTTTACCACAAAATCGATTATGTTGAGCGTTATTGTGTGGTGAAGGTTTTCTCGATTGCAATTTTTCAGATCGCTTGTTGCCAAAGGAGAAGCTAAAGACGCCTTCGGCGGAAATGCCCCCAAAGCCACAAAAATGTCTATGCTGGTACGACCGCTTTGTTTTGTATTATTACGCTCGCAGTAGCCAACGAAATACTGATAATCAGACCGACTTGCTTGACCATTGAGGACCAAAGGCGAATGTTTTGAAATTCATTACAGACCTACGATTGCGGTATTGAGTCGAAAGCACTGAAATGGATAAAAAAGTGTGTCTACGAATCATCGCATTTGGATAATTCATCGAATCTGGGAGAAAATTTATATATGCTATATGATCCCCATGTGGATAAGGCGGAGGCTGCCAATGTGGTAAGACACCTATATGGAGAAGAGCTGTGAGATGTGAACACAGTAGATTTCTTGCAGAGCTCTTCAGCTTGGTTTAGCTCACTGCAAATTGTTGGTGTTGGCCAGGCAAATGTTTTCACTAGAGACGTTCTCTACCGAGGTGCTGGTTATTACACGCAGGTGAGGTCATCTGTAATTTCGCTGCAACAATGTTCAGTATTACATCACTGATTCAGATGGTGTGGCAAAAGACTAGCAAGCTTGGATGCGCAGTGGTATCGTGTAACAGCATGACTTTAATAGGCTGCCTGTACAACCCGAGGTAAGAGCATTTTTCTGGAGCTCGAGTCTTTACCTAATTGCAAGTTTCAGGGGGAACATCGAAGGAGAGCTCATCTATGAGATGTGAGAGACATGCACGGTCTGCGCTTGCAGTAAGGAAGTCCTCTGTGATGTGTAATACCTCCGCCAGTCAATAAACTTTCTCAAACAGATTACGATTACCATTCTAACCGCCAAAATGTTTTAAGTTCTGTTCTCGGATGTATGCACAACAAAAGTCGAGATGTGGAACATGTGAAGGATGCCTGTTAGCTGCTCCATTTGGAGGAACCTAACAATCAGCAAAATTTTAGGTCTTTCTACAGGCATGAATTAGGTCTATGTCTAGATTTGAACTGATCCATGCCTGCCGATGTTCTTGGCAGAGCGGCATTCAACCGCTTTGATCTAAAGGGCAGACATCGAAAGAGAAGATGCCTGTTCAGATGGTGATTGATCAGATTTGGTTATGCCGATGACATACATGTGTGAGGGTCTAGGCGGCTAAATGTTCGTCCACTCTGAGAGAATTTCACGAAACAACTTCAGGAGATTGTAAGTAATGGTGGAAATGGAAACATCCGTTGAACTGGGTGAATTGGGTCGATATCGAAAAGTTGTCTTGTCTATCGAGTTCGAAGACTGACAGCATGGAAAATGTCAATTTAAATAAGCTCGTGGAGAATGTTTTCACATTGGCACCGGAGGGTTAACCTAAGCACTCACCGTCAGCTCCAGCTCCAGCATGATGACGCCGTTTTCCTCTTTGGGATTTCTGAAAACAGATAAGCCTTATACTTGAATCATTGTGCCTCTATTTCTGAATATTGCAATAGCAATGTAGGGAAACCTGCTCAAGTGTTCCTATCAACCAAAGTGTCACTGATGCTATGAAAATGAAGTTTAGAAGGTGCAAGATCGGTTTTAACCAAGGCTGAGGATTCCTCATGGGTGAGCGCTAGCAAGTCGATACTGTCTATGAATCACGTGACCATGAATCACGAGCCAGCGGATTTTTCTATTAATTCGAAAATTCCCCCTTCAAGGTTGTTCACCTGCTTCTCAAAGTGGTTCGGTTGATATCGATTTGGGATGAATTTGAAGATGAAATCATTAAAATTGGTTCCACTAGACCTCTCCGCGCACGATGATATTAGACAAGACGAATTTCCGAATTTTGAAGGCATTCGTAAAACAGTCATCACGGATGAAGGTAGTGTAGTTGCAAGTGGCGCACTATTATACACGCGTGGTCATGGGTACAAATCCCGGATCGATGCTCGCTCAGGCCAACCGAACTTTCCATCCTTCCGGTGTCGGTTGATTGGCACCAGATTAGTTTGGGAGAATAAAAACACTGACTTGTATGTCGGCTAGCCACGGCAATTCAGTGTATGAGCCACATACCCATTCAATACGCCACTACGACTCCGAATGGAAGTCGAATGCGTGAGAACATCTCTCAGACAGGGTTGAGTTGGCCCAAGACTTGACCTTTACCCTTATCCTTGACCATTCTTCTTTCGTAGTTGATATACCGTGATATACCTTTGTAATCTTGTGGATGAAATGCAGATCATCAATCCTTTTATCACACACAGTGAAGGAAAGGGGAATCAAACAACCGAGAAACCCATATAATACAACGAAAATGGTTCTGAGCCGGGAGACGTGTGAGTGAGTGGGTTTCCGCCCAGCTGTGTTGGCAAAGTTACTGTGACACAGATTCCTTCCGACTTCGAGATCTGTCTTGGTGCAATTGGTACAAGTTATCCTTAGAGATCTTCTAATGTAAATAGGACTGTAAAACTGTGGTTTAGAAATATAATTCCTTAATGTTCCTTATACTATATGTGTAAAAAGACATGAGACAGTCTTGTTCGCCACTGATTTCTGACCATGTTGGAGAATGGGTTTTCTGCGTCTGTGGAGACCACGGCAATCATAAATGACGGAAAAACGAAACTCACAACTTCTTCGAGTGACTCCAATCTTCTGTTGAAGCTGCGCCATAATTCTCGATCTTTACGTCGATGTTCCTCTATCGCTATGAAGTGCTTTTGGATCTTGGTTACCAGCTCTTTGGCTTCTTCTTTGAGATCATCAATAGAAAGCTGTCAAAGGGTTCGATTGGATGACATAAAGCAGGAATAAAGCTGACCAAGGAGATCCGCCTACCTCATCACCACTATCCTTCTTACCCATATTCACAACCGCGTAGTGTGAACTCCAAGATTGAAATAATTACTCCACCATTCCCTGTGTTATCAGAATATTCCTTCAGCTAGTTTAATCACGTGATGTGGATAAAGAACAAAGTTTTGGGGTGTTAATAAATCCCGTCTGAAGGATGCGCCCACACGTTCAACTTTCATTCAGAATCGTAGTGGCGTAATGAGAGCGTATGGGGCCTTTACAATGACTTGCGGTGGCCAGCTGAGGTACAAATCAGTGCTTTTATCCTCACATACTAGTCCGGTTCCTATTAGCCGACCCCGAAAGGATGGAAGGCATCGTTGGCCTAGCCGTGTATCTGGGGTTCGAACCCGTGACCATGCGTGTGTGATATCGCGCCACTGCCACTACACCACCTCCGCCTTGATCAACCTCTACAGTAGACTAAAAATATTTTGAATCTCAAGCTAACATAATCACAGGTTTCCTTAATGTCACATCTGCCCTTCACTACTTCAAAACTCAGAAGAAATTTTATTCAGGGATCTATTCATTAACCCTTCATGCGGGGTACTATTAATCGGCCAGTTGGCGGAATTCGCGTACTTTCAATGTGAACGCAGTCCTTGCGTGGACACCTATGAAATGGCGTCCTTACTGAAACTTATGAGCTCATTTTTTATCCTGCTTTCCGATTTAGGGGTATCATTGAGCAATCAAAACTCATTCGTTCAGATTTTTCCCAGACAAAAGTATGAATGGTGCACGATGGAACAGTATAAGGCATCGAAGTTTACCTTATTCCCACATTAAAGGAGCGACCTACCACTTTCAATGACAGAAGTCCTCAGAGTAGCTTTCATCGAGAAGACTGAGATGCTGTTGTTGTTCAAAGGCACAATCACGATAAAATTTGTTCCTGAGATTTCTCTATAGTATGAGTTCGAGACGCTCCTTTATACCATACCTGTCGCTATAAGGGTGAAAAACGTCCTGGAGAGGGCGCAACAAGGAACCAGAGATTGAGTTGCGTGAATGTCACACCCAAAGGACGAGTTCCAAAGCCTTTGTAGAGGCTGCGCTATCTCAAGAGATTCCCATGTAGGAAGTTCAAACAACTTGTCATGGCCCATAGCGACAGTAAAAGGCATTTTGGAGAAATATTGTTTTACGTAGTCAGCTTTTTGCGCAATGGGAGCAAATTGAATCCCGTCCGAACACCCCTACATACCATTCCCGTCTCGGTGATCTGGTGATCTCGTACAAAGTCCACTTCCACTACTTTCAAAAAACCTCGAGTAAGCGGATTTCACCGCTTTCATCACCACGGATGTATTCCTCTACATCAACACTTCCGCTTTTCAACCTAAAAGGATACATCAAAATTATCGTGAACTATGCCTTCAAGTGGGAAGACGAGCATAACCATGCTTCGAGAGTAGCTCCTTCGCCTTCTTTAGTCCCAGGGGCGTCGACAATTTGACTGGGCTTGCTTTCTTTTGAGAGTAATTCAATCACGCTTGAAGCTTTTTCAAGCTAATCCAGTTGAGGGGGGTCTAGCAAACACATCAGAAGAGGGAGTGTAATGTAATGATTAACTGCAAACGAACAGCAATATGTAATTCTAATCAGTTGGCAGTAACAGACTTGATATAACTTTGTATACTCCCTATTATGAGCAATTCGTAGAAGTATTCGCAGTGTTGCGGCCCAATTGCTCTTTGATGCCTTAACAAGACTCTCCCCAATCCAATTATGGTCTTTCTACTCCAAGCTCTTTTCCTATTCCACTGTCCTGTGTGCTCATTTACTATTCCACTGCCCTGTGTGTTGTGTTTGTGCTAGCTTCAGACCACAAAGGATAGCGAATTTTCTTCGGTTTTAGCTATATTCTGTTGAAAACCGAATTAAGGGATGTTTTGATTCCAACAAACGAATTTATCTCGCAGAATGAGTAAAACCGACTTGTAACTTCTGATAGACGATCAATTCCCTTCGCAATCAACCTATACACTATGACACCAATCTGACAATGAGTGACCCATAAGAGTGATAGTCTGTGCCGGTAATCCACGAACTTATTACTACTACTTGTTATTTACTCGCGAGCGAGGGTCCACTGCAGTTGATGAATTTTCATACAGCTACATACACATTTCTGAATGAGCACCTGCTCGAGTATCTTTCACCATTACAATACCTAAGCCCGACTGGTACCATTGCAAATATATACCGCTGAACTGTCATCTTTTATAGGCAACTGGTGTGATTTTCGATCAGGCATCATTCTGAAGGTCAAATGCCTTCAATATGAGCAGATGGTCGTTTCAATGAGACCTTTGGAGGTCCTGGTACATAACTCGAACAAAATCGGGCAAAACGTCCAATTTCGCATTGTCAGCAGGATCCAGCGACGGGAGCCGGTTCGAGGCTGATAGTCGATTTGGAAGCGCTTGAAAACATTTTGTCTACTAGCCTTTGTAGGGAACAACGTCAACTTACCTTGATGAAATGAGAACTAATCGAGAATGCTTCCCAATGACTGTTTTTTCCAGACTGCCAATTTTCCATGGTTCATTCTTGGATTAGGAAACGCTCTATCCCCTAGGGTTGTGCTTCGTTCGTAACCTTTCCGTTAACCACTTGCTACCCGATATTCAGTTTCTGCCGATTGCTTAGCTGTTCCGAAACCGGGTAGGAAGTTTTGCCGTAGACACGCCCGTTGATTCAGGAAAAAATGCCGGGCTTACGCAGACGGAACTTTACGAAGTTCACATGTGCTCTATCTAAATTGTCCTATATCCCACCCACTCCGACCTTGTCTCGAACTCTTCATTTAATAGAATTTTGTGAAAAAAAACAAATAGATATAGCTCTTTATACATGGTAACGATAGTACAGTAGCTACGACAAGTGATGAAAGTGGCGATCATTGAAAGACTACGACCCCCGAAATAAAGCTATTAGAATTCTCAGAAGAGCTCTGTGATTGCTAAATGCAGCACTTGGTCTTTCAGCGAAGGAATCTTCGTCTTGGACGAGCGTTGCAACGCGTCCTGGCTGAAAATGATAACTGCAATATCTGTCTGGAGACTGTTCAAAGGCATGGGATACGGAGGAGGACACAAAGGCTCAAAATGGAGAGGCACGGCACTTCCTAGAGCCCATCAAAGTTCCTTTTCATCATCCTAGACCAATTCCTTTATTCGAAGGCAAGTAGGGACATATTATAACAGGGGAGCCTACACATTTCAGTTTTCTCAAGGAGTTCTCCCATTTGAACTAGGTTTAATCTCTCGGGATTGGCCAGTTAGGAAAGGCGTGACGTTAAGGACAACGTCACATTCTGGAAAGCTCCCTCATACCCTCCCACTCCCCAGACGAGATCGATAAGAGACTGCGGCGAACATCTGTTTAGGCCTCAGTGGTACGATGCTATACGAAAAGTGCTAGAGCACCAGTAAGTCTGAACTCAGTGCAACGAACCTGTTGCCGATCCCCTCGGTGATAGGTGTTTCCTTGGTACATTCGACGAGCAAACCCGTATGCATAGGCTTTTTCTTTATTCGTGTAGCTAAAGCCTGGATTCCAAATCAACGATCCATAACCAAAAAAGTGTACAGAGTCTTTTGATGTTGTGGGGTTCATTGTTGTCGTAGCTGGAAAGAAGTGAGATTACTATGGAGTGGTATTCGCTAGCAAGGTTACAACAACGGTTTCTCCTACAGCAGTGATTCACAGGAATCAGAACTCGAATGCAGAATAAGAGAACAAGAGTATAACCCAGAAAGAAGCACGGGCTCCCAATGGGTAGAGGAAAATGAAAAAATTCTCAGAAGCGAAACTAAGGGGGTCTTAAATAGGGCCTGAAAAAATAGATGGGGCGGTATTCAAAATGAACATGAATCACCACTTGCAGAGTTTATTGCCATTATGTATAACATGAGAATCTTCGTCTTTGAATTTCACACCGTAAATTCCCTCTTTATGTAAATTTGGAGACAATAAAAGCCCTTTACATAACATTTGTTCATGCACTGACTGACTCACTCATGGTTTAGGTGACTATGAGCCCTTATAGAATATCAGTGGGCCTAATACCAAAAAATGGTGAGGCCAAAGATGATCCCATTAAAATTACTGTGTTATATGCCGTGCAGACTTATACAGTATCCCTTTTGCAGCTCACATAAACATATAGAAACCTTATCAGAGACGGCAAACAAAAGAGATTGAAGGAAAAATTTATATTTGGAAAAGGACAAATAAAAGCAGAAATTGGTGGGAAAAATGATAAACAAAAATAGAAATTGAAAGGTTTCTCATTATTCAGGATAATGTTCTGAAAAGTGAAGTGCTAGTGAAATCTCACACGAATAAGCCCCATGAACGCCCTTTATACGTCGCCAAAGGGCGTGGTCGTCGTCAGAACACGGAGGACAGCCCATTGCATCATTCTGGCGCGAAGCAAATCGAGAGCAGAGAACATGTGACGACAACAGTTGTTGTGGGTGTCATTCTGCCATGGGATAGCCTAATTAGTGTCGGAGATAGGTATCGAGAGGAAGGCCTAGCCAAGGGCGCTACCTAAGCAACATAGTGTTAGTCACGTAGAAGAATGGTAGATGGGTAACGGATGATTAGGCGAAACATTGAGTCTTCCACTCGAAGTTCCTCTCAAATACAGGTGAGTAGAATTTCTACCTGAGGCAGGGTAAGGTAGCCTATTAAGGTTAATCCGGATGTTTGCCTAGCTCCGCTAGAATCGCTAAATCAAATGAAGTTGACGATAATGAGGTTTATAGCGTAAATATGGTATTTAATGGTAGTCCCTGGGATCCGTTATGATAAAATGTGGTACGATCTGATGGTATGGTAAGATAGGACATATGATCTTTGACAACTTATAAGCTACAAAGGCCTCTGCCTATCAAACCGACAAAGAAGGGTGAGACGAACGAGGATTGAGTAATGTTATCCATGAAACATCGACTTAGAAAAGTGAAGGCGACTATATGGATATTCTGCCTACAGAAACTCTTCCTTGGGTCAACCGGTACGCACCTATAGGGGTGTACACCTGTGCTAAGCACAGCATCAGGGGCAATTGACGTCGAGGGAAACTTGTTATGTGAGAGTTCTTTGTGGGTGTCAGAAACATGATGAGATTTGGTTTAAGTACTCCCATATCCATGCATCTGCCCAGCCAGATGAGAGAGAATGTCACGTCTCGGATTAGTCGAAGAAAGGAGACCAGCTGAATTTCCCAATCTTGTCGGAGACGAATAGAAACACTCAACTGTGCATAGCGTTACTTCAGGACCAGAGCTTCGGGACCCAAAGGGATAAGTAAAGTCTCTATTAGTTCTTGTCTCGAGACCATGTCGTCCAGCTGATTACCCTCTTTCGAGGACGTCCCACGAATTCGATGATGAGAAAGACAATAGGTGATATAAGTGATGCAGGTGATTTGGCTGATGGAATTTTTTGAAAACTAGACCCTTTTTGGAAAGCCATTAGAGTGAATTTCATAGCATTCGAATAAGACTTAACGAATAAAAAGGTTTCCTAAGAGAAAACTAAGTTGTTGTAGCCCACTACTAAAGTACTTTCCATGACAACAAGGATAACTGGATTGTTCCAGTCGAACTATATATTCTACTCCTCTCAAGTTTGCTCAATTTCCTGACTGGTAGAAAGGATTTCTCTCTGTGAGGACCCCTCCGCCTCTCCTTTTCGTGTTCTCAGTACAAATGAAAATCCTTTTCAGTAAACTCAATAAACTTATAACAACCTTTCGGGAACTTTCGAGGTTTTAATTAAGTTCGATCTTTTCATGAAAAGACCAAAAAGGTAGAACTGTACCCAAAGGGCAGCCCCCACGTAGATTTTATTGGTGATTACTGGCTCAAATGTACTCGGCTAATCAAATATGGGCGAATCGACGTTTTAATTTGATATTTATATAATTTTTACCACTTGTTTTTCGAAAATTCAGAGAATTGCAGTTAATGGTTGAAATGGCTTGTACAGCTGTCAATGCCACCCACCCGCTATGCGAGCCAAACATTTTCATCCGCTTATATGCGATCAACGTCGATAAGCCAAATTTGGAACAAAGGGAGCCGGAACGTTCCGCATGGTTTCTAATCTTTCGAATCTAACAAGTGAGACAAATGTCATTCTGCCACTTTGCCACTATCCCTTATCAATCGGAACAAACATATACCTAAACAAACATAAATAACAAATAACAAGTAAAACAATCCTTCCGTGGAAAATAATCCATAATGACTTGATAGCTATAGGTTCATGTCAAGTGTATAACTAAAGCTTCTTATGTGCCTCTCACGACGATCACCCCATAAGCATGATTATGGCCTTGAGCTCTTTGTTTGTGTAGGCGATTGAACATGGAGGAATTATTGACCTCACGCTCCCATTAAATGCTCCTTCGTGTTCTCTAGGAAGAAAAAGCTTCAGAGCTTCATTACTCCCTTCTTTTCCATCAATCACAAATTAAAACTCCATGATTTAAGTTGACGGGAAAAAGTTGTAACTGGGATACAATACTAAGTGGTAATTCCAGTGACGTTACTACGAAAGGAAACCACCTCATCCGTGAAATGCGTGTTCGCAAAAATCCACCTGAATGCCATCATTGCCGTCATCCGTGTGTGGCTCACATCATTTCCAATCAGCTTTTGAGTGTATTACGCATGAAGGCAGGATGCATTAACATATTATATTTAGGCAGTATTCCTAGCCTACATCGTCAGCATTTTTTTGCCATTCTGAACGTCATCCAGGAAATTCAGCTATTCGCTAGCCTCTTAAATCCTTCAGCTTCCTTTGAATCACTTAGTGACTTGGAAACTGCTTCCGCCATATCAAATAGATATCAGGGCTCGACAAAAATCTGCTTTGATGAGGCCTTTTGTCGATTTTCAGCTAGTACCAGTACAGCTCAGGAATACCTGAAGAGTAGCTGCCAATTCCTTCCGAGCGAAGTGGAGATGGAGCCCTCTGCCTGGTAGTGAGGCGGTACGACTGGAATTTTACGTTATTCTGATGAAATTAACGGTTTGTAACTTTACTTTACTGTTTGACATGGTCCATTGATTTCAGTTTGCTACATTTTTCTTACTGGATCCAGAATGGATGATCGGAGACGGCTTTCGACGAAGCAATCAGAATCAGGAGATCTGGAATGCCGCTGTATGTACTCATTAAGTCGTCGAGAAATTCCTGTTAAGCAACAATTCGTCGGAAAAAAAAATTCCATGATGGCTTAGCATCACAAATGAACTTTTGTAATGGTAGACATGGGCTAGCTTTCCTAATAAAGAATTCAGAATTTCTAAAAAAGGGAATTCCAAGCTCCAAGTGTTAATGCACTGCGATATCATGCCTAATGCGAAGGCATCGTTGCACTAAAAGAGACTGTACAGTATACACCGGAAAACTTTTTAGGCTACGCAAAAAAAACCCAACCGCAATGTCAATAGAAAGCACTTTAAGAAAAAAAAANAAAAAAAAACAGCTCCAGACATACACTGCGTATTCATGGGCTGATCACGTGAATTGCACGTTACCGTTGACGACGTGGGAGGTCGGAGAGAGATGAATCGGCTAAACAGAACGGGAACAAAACTAAATTCCTATCAATAAGGCGTATTAGTGGATAACGTTCGCTTAAATGAATCGATTAGTTTAATCCAGCCGTGTAATTTGGTTTGGTAAGGAAATGAGTCGTCAATTCGCAAGGATATGCCCCGTACTGATACCTAGGAGCACATAGAGGAGAAAAACTTTACTTGTAACTGAGTCACAAAAGTCTATAAAACCATCATCAACTGCCCAAGACGATATAGTTCATGGCTGCTTTTTCCGATTCAAAGAGAATAACTCTGCAGCTCGGAGAGCTATGAAACTGGGACTCATAAAGCTGAGCTATCTCAAAACAAGGCTGCTCCAGATGTCGAAGTCTAGAAGAGCTTGACGAGCGGGGATTAGTAGTATACAACTTTAAGAAAACTTAGTTTCAAACCAGCTCAATCAATCATAAAAAGGGAAGAGACGGGCTCGGTGATCTTTCAGCAATCTTAAAAACTCTTCCGCCTACTACTGTGTCTAGTTAACTGCCTGAAAACCTGCCTAGAAAGGACATAATTATCTTCTGATTAGGCTATTCTGTATGCTGAGCTTCTTTTTTCTTCGAAAAAGCATGTGGGCGACGTCTGACTAATTTGACTCGATTACGTGAGGGGCTCGCTGAATATCTGCTTAGAAGAAAAGCCAGGGAGCTACTTCAGCAGCTAGTACCTTTTCTCAATTCAGTGCAAGTGTTGGATTTTGGTTTGCTTGGTTTCTTCAAATTTTCAGATATTCGGCTGTCACTGCAGAAACTTTTGGCATCCCCACTTTTTCTAATGCAAACCTTTAGATTTGAGTTGGATCATGATGAAAAGGTATGAGCGTCAACAAGAACGTTGATAAGCTATAAATTAAGCAGCCGAGATGCGAAA